ACACAGTGATCATTCTGCCCCAGCAGCCCCTCCTGGGAGACACACAGTGATCATTCTGCCCCAGCAGCCCCTCCTGGGAGACGCACAGTGATCATTGTGCACCAACAGACCCTCCTGGGAGACACACAGTGATCATTGTGCACAAGCAGATCAGGGGGAGGAAAAAGGAAAACTTCAGACAGTACAGACCCAGATGAGATTTAGCTTTACACCGGAGTATCACACAATATTGTGCAGGTTACGAGGCTGAATGTAGAACAGGTTTGGAGGGCTGGACTGCCCTGTGATTGAGCTGTCGGCACTCTGCTGCTGCTCTCATGGCTGGTCTCTCTTCTGCCCTCCTGCAGACATGGGGAGTGGACACACGAGTGACCGGGGAGGACTGTGAGTGACCGGCGTGGAACGCAGAGACATAAGATGGACTCTGGTGCCGCTCCCGAGCCAGACCGGGTCGAGATCAAAGAGGAGCAGGAGGCAAAGGAGATATCGCTGGCGCGGGACCCACAGGGGAGTCGCGCAGCGGAAGGCCCGAGCTCTCCATCTTCCAAAGGCGGATCGGACACCGATGACTCGGACACGCTGTTGGAGGGCGAGAACGTGTACGAGGGACTCCACATCGTGGTGAAGGAGGAGGAGGAGGAGGAGGAAGCCCCCGGCCGCGCTCCGGTGCAGGGCTCGCCCAGTCGCGGGGTCGGCCAGGGCACGGGCAAGGTCATCACCGTGGTGGCGGTGACGGACCGGCTCTCCAAGGCCAGCGGGGTGCAGCGGCTGTACCACTGCTTCGAGTGCGGGCAGGTGCTGGACCCGCGCGGGCTGGGCGCTCAGGGGCACGCCTGCGCCGCAGGCAAGGGCGCGGGCGGCGGGGACACGCGGAGCCCGCCGGGCACCAAGCCCCACGTGTGCGCGGAGTGCGGGAAGGGCTTCGAGTGGCTGCAGTCGCTGAAGGAGCACCGGCGCGTCCACACGGGCGAGCGGCCCTACCGCTGCCAGCTCTGCGGCAAGAGCTTCCTGTCCTCCGGCCACCTGCGGCAGCACCAGCAGACGCACGCCGACAGCAAGCCGCACCAGTGCGCCGCCTGCGGCAAGCGCTTCTCGCGCGCCAAGAACCTGGAGGTGCACCAGCGCGTGCACACGGGCGAGCGGCCCTACCTGTGCGCCGTGTGCCACAAGAGCTTCCCCTACTCCTCCACGCTCAAGCAGCACCTGCGCACGCACACGGGCGAGCGGCCCTTCCAGTGCGCCGCCTGCGGCAAGCGCTTCGCCCGCGCCAAGAACCTGAAGGTGCACGAGCGCGTGCACACGGGCGCCAGGCCCTACCGCTGCGGCGTGTGCGGGGAGAGCTTCGCCTACGCCCCCACGCTCAAGACGCACGAGCGCACGCACCCCTGAGGCCCCGCTGCACCCCAGCAGACGGGCAGTGGCCCCAGATAGGCAGGGTTGTTCCCAGTTTCTGGTCTCGTACTTTAACACCCTTTCTACAGGACTCCCTCTCCAGCCTGGCGGCAGATCACTGTCGTTTTCAGAATTAAACCCGGATCCAAGTTCCCTCGTCTGCGCTGTTTCTTTAGTGTGTGTCAAGCGTCTGGGTCAGGCAGAAGTTTAGCTATTAAAGTGCTAGTTTAGGGAGAGAACTGGTCTGGCAGGGCTGTTTTCCTGAAGAGAAGAGGAAGAATTTCCTGCAGCACGAGAGAGCTAAAGTCCCATTCGGAGTTGATGTTTATGAATTACAGAATAGCAGGAGAAATAGAAATGAGTTTTAAAATTAATAATTCAATTTTCGATCATGATTGTAACACACTTTTGCTGATCAATTAGTAACGACCAGCTGCTCCTATCCGATTGTGTGGCACCATTGTCTAAACCACGATGCCAAGTCTTACACATCTGGTGAACCCACATTGGTTGGGTGTAGACTGAAACTCTACATTTAAAAAAAAAAAAACTTTGTTCCAGTCAATTCCAGAGAACCATCCTGTTGTTCGGCAGCCCTGTCTAAACGGAATCATAATATTGTCACTCATTGATCAAGGAGCATGATAACATTTAGCAAGCCTGTTCTTCAGTCTGCACCTTCATTTTTCCAGTCTGTGGGCACCTTAAAGCTTTACTCAAAAAGTGACCGAGCGAACACTTCCTCTGTGTTTCATGGCCTTCATGGGCTGGTATTTCCATTTCAGTACAGCATGTGACACGTGAGGGTACTGTACTCTAACAAAAAGATTTATGAATGAACAGCACCCGAACTGAAAAAGAGTCCACCTGTAGTAACGGTTCAGGACCGAAACAGTCTCAGGAGGCGCAGAGCTCAGCTTCAATGAGAGCCGGGGCTGAACACTGTAGCAAGAACACACAGTACACACCACTTCATTTTACTGCAAAAACTTTTATCTTTTCATTAGTAATAAACTGGTTTAATTCCAAAACTAAGAAAAACATCAAGGCAAATTTAAAAGTACAGATAAAGACAGCGAGGCCCACTCCGTGAAAGCAGCTACTTCGGCTGTTCTCAAGCTGCAGTGGCCGAGCGGCGCCCTGAAGCTCATTCCGTCCGGAGTCTCCCAGCGCTGTGCGCAACGGGCAAGGCGGATGTGTACGGGCTCCCGAGTTGAAAAGCAGCCGCTGCCAGTGGGAAGAGATTCCCGAGGAAATCCCGAGCTTTCCTGGATCGGGTCCCTTGCTCTTGCTGGCTGTGGGACAGTGGGAGAGGCGCAGACACGGGTCCGGGCCGCATCTCTCTCTCTCTCACAGCAGCGGGAGTCCGAGAGGCCAGTCGTGAGGTAGATCAGTTGCTGGGCTCCCCGGCAGGCCTGTGAGGGGTAAGGAGGGGTCTCTCTTCCCCTCATGGCTGAGGATGGAAGGCAGATGTGCAGCTCTAGTCTCCTGTCGCCTAACAGCAGGTAACAGGGCAGCCCGACGAGGCACAAGCAGGTACAGGCAGCCCGGGACTCACAGTTCCCCACTGGTTAAAGGTCAGAAAAAATAGGGTGCAGGAACCCCGTAATGTGTGGGTCTTCCAGGACACGTTGCTCAAGGGGGATCTCCCACACCGTACAGTTCTTCCCTTTCCTATGCTGTTTGCAGATGGGTGTTTCCTGCCCTGTGACTGGATCCTTTCTGTTCCAGCGGCCTCGGTGTGTATTTGCCTCGGTGTGTATCGTACGTCATCGCCCGTCCGGGCAGGAGCAGGGTGTTCGCGCTTCCCAAGCCCTACAGCAATGAATTGGCTTCATTACTCTGCTCTCCTCCCCACTGATAGCTGGTGTGTGGTGAGCATTCTGGTGCACTATGGCTGCTGTCGTATCATCCAGGTGGGGCTGCACATTGGTGCTGGTGGAGGGGATCCCCATTACCTGTAAAGCACTTTGAGTGGAGTGTCCAGAAAAGCGCTATATAAGTGTAAGCAATTATTATTATTATTATTATTATTACAGCACCACCTCGATTTCGTAGGCCACTTGTTTTCCCAGCACCCTGTTGACCCCCGGCACACGCTCCTCTTCTGCCCCATAATGCACCTCCTTGACCTGCACCTGCTGCGCCCGCCTCTTGGTGTCGGTGCGCCCCGCCTGCTGCGCCCGCCTCTTGGTGACGGGGGGCCCTGCCCGCCTGCGCCCGGGGCTGTGCCGCTGGCAGAACAGCACGCCGCAGCGTGCGCAGAAGCTCGCCCGCTCCTTGGCGTGGATCTCCTGGTGCCGCTTGAGGTTGTGCCGGGTGGTGAAGCCGCGGCCGCAGTCGGCGCAGGGGAAGGGGCGCTCGCCGGTGTGCACCCGCCGGTGCTCCTGCAGGTGGGCGCGGCTCTGGAACCTCTTGCCGCAGTCGGCGCAGGGGTGCGGCCTGTCCCTGGCCGGCGCAGCTCTGTACGATTCGCGCTCACCCAGTGAGACCGCCGGCCGCCCGTTCCCTGCGCCTGCTGGGGAGTCTGCCATGGATCCCTGCCTCCCGCAGCTGCTCTCAGCGATAATGAATTCTAATACCTCCTCACACTTATACAGCTGGACACTCCACTCACAGCGCTCCACAGGTCCTGGGGATCCCCTCCTCCACCGCCAGTGTGCAGCCCCACCTGGATGATGCGCCAGTCCTCTCACACACACCAGCTCTCAGTGGGGAGGAGAGCAGAGTGATGAAGCCAGTTCAGAGAGGGGGGTTATTAGGAGGCCATGATTGGTAAGGGCCAGGGGGAAATTTGTCCAGGACACCCCTACTCTTTTCGAGAAATGCCCTGGGATTTTTAATGACCAGAGAGTCAGGACCTCGGTTTTACGTCTCATCCGTAGGACGGTGCCTTTTACAGTATAGTGTCCCTGTCACTATGCTGGGGCATTAGGACCCACATAGACCGCAGGGTGAGCGCCCCCTGCTGGCTCCACTAACATCTCTTCAAGCGGCAAACCTTAGTCTTTTCCAGGAGTCTCCCATCCAGATACTGACCTGCTGAGCATCAGTGGGTTCCCAGTCGTGAGCTGCAGGGCGATATGGCTGTTGCAGTAACCAGACAAACTCCGCTCCCTCTCTTCAGGCACGTGCGCCAGAGCACAGCACCCCTACAGCACTCTGCCAGAGCCCTGGCTTTCTGAAATTCCTCCAGGACTCTGAGGCTGTTCGTCCCTGGGTCTGCAGCTGGCCGGGCTCTGGGTTTTCATTCCATCTGGGGCTGAGCTCAGTCACCTCACTACTCCTCTCACAGACAGCTCGGCACCTGACACCTGAGGCCCCACCGTGCTCGTCTCTGCTGCAGCTCAGCCACCTGCCAGACAAAGTTCACAGTTCAGTGCTCCCACCTGCTCGCGGCTGGCTGCGTCTGCGCAGCCGGAACACCCCAGCACTGCTGGGTCTGTGGGTCAGGCTCTAGAGTTGTATCTGGACCTTAGGAATTCAGTCTTACAGTGTTACACATACAATTCCAATAACACGTAAATACCATCAGAGGGCTCCTCGTTCTCTCCTTCATTCTGCAACAGTCGAGATGCAGAGACCACAACGTGACTGAACCTTGGTTTCATCACTTTCACTTAATTTTTTTAAGTGAAGTTTTACGTTTTTGATTTAATATTTCCACAAGCAGTCCTGGACAACCATTTAATACAGTCGGTGTGGACGTGTTGAGTGTCGCAAATAGCAGCAGTGAAATAGCGCTTCAGAAAAAGCGCAAAGCGTGGATTCTAATGACACAACTGCAGAGTCAAATGTCAACACGGGATGTCAAGACAGAAATCACGACCGTGCGCGTAATAAGGATTTATAGTGGAATAATAACATCAAACGTTACTTCACTTCAGCTCCGGTCCGCCCAGCTGTAACTCAGCTTTAGTTCAGTCCCCGGAGGACAGAGCAGAACATCGATTCGACTTTTGTGATTGATGTTTTTTCCCCCCAGAAACTATTGTGCTAAACGATGCAAACATATTATTGTAGGTAATATGACGCAGGCGAAAAGATGCGGTGATCAAATTGAATCGCGAGAGGTTTAGAGAACTTCAATACATAATCAATGTTTCTTTACGGCCGCAACATGCAAACTTATTGTCACGTGCGGTTTCTAGGCAGGTACTGTGGGGGGCTCTGCACGTGGGGAAACCCCACATTGTATGTAGGTCCCCCAGCCCGACGAAAAGGGGAGCCGTCGTAGAACAAGCGCAGGAGCCGTTTAAAAAAAATATTTAATTCCATATAATGTCGGCGATAAATCGTTACAGTCTGTAAACAAAAGACATACCTTTCCAAGTTTGCGCTCCGTCAAAAGAATGCGGCCCCCCTCTCCACACCCTCGAATTGACATTAGTTCCGGGACTTCAGTTCCTACCCAGGATCCTGTTTCTGCGAAGAAATGGATTAAGGTTTCCATTCTGAAAAATGAAAAGCAAGAGACGCCTTCTTTTGGTGCTCTGTGAAGTCATCTCAGCTACTCATTGCAAATTATTGCTCAAGCAATCTTCCGTTTCGAGTGTTAAGCTCATACCGTTTACGTGGTTAGCAACCCCTCGAGGTCTTTTAATAAGCTTCCCACGGGTATTAACATACATGAATACATACGTGTAAAAACGAAAACTCTAAAGTAATGTAACCAGATGACCAGATCTTATAAACAGCTGGAGGGAAGGCGACGGGTTTTAGCAATTAAGCATTTCAACTGATGGAATAATTCGATATAATTCCAGTTTATTACGGTCAGCGAGATATAAAAGATTAAAACCGATCTCGGGTAGCAGAGACTTTCCCACTGGCCTCTTCAGAAGACAGCCAAGCTCAGACGGCAAAATAACTACTGTTGTTGTATTTGATTTGATTGCTCATCAGAACTAGAACTGTTTTCCAGAACCGATTAAGGAAAGCAATTAAACGAGAAAGCGGGCGTTTTCTAAAAATAAATGCGCACTTCCGAGTTAATTCGATAACACAAACCAACTACCAGTGTATTGAGTAACGAATGTCCCTCAGTCATTTCCTTGAGGGATCCCAGGGCCTGTAGACAATATTGCAGTTTGTTACAGACACCCACCACTCTCTGCATAAAGACCTTCTTCTTGTTTACAGGAAGAGCTTAC